TACAACAAATGAGGGAAAGACTTGGAAAAAAATTATATTAAGTGAAGTAAGCCAGATGCAAAGAAACATAGGTTGTGTGGTTTCCCCCAAAAGAGGTTTTAGTGATGGAATCAGAACACCAGGTATGGATTTAGTTGAAAGCCATGACATAAAAGCACAGAAATTCATCAAAACAAGCAGGTTCCAGGACTGAGAGCTGCGAGGAGAGCTGTGTGTGTTGATACATCCAGATGGAGACTGTCCAGAGGGAAGCCATGGAAAGTCGAGAGCAGTGCTCTCATGCTTCCGCAGAACCAGCCTGCTATGACCTTAAAGTCCAAACAGATAATCCCTCCTTTGCCCTGAACGCTGGGATAAAGATCTAATACGTGTGGACTCCAAGCTCATATTGCATGCTCAGAGAGAAGCTGGAGGCCAGTAGCACCAAGTAACACGGAGTAGACACGGACAAAGAATCTTCCTGTGAAGATGGGTAGATGGCTGTGAAGAGTTTCCCCATGGTCCTGACCTGCATCATCCCTAAGACCCGAAAGATCTAAATCGATTGCAAGGCATTGGTATTCAAATACTGTTCCTGAAACAACAGTCTATTTCTGAACCTGGATCTGAATTACTTCCTGTGTTGTTAAGATGATAAGGTCTACTTTAAAATGATTAAATAAGCATCTTAAGCATAGACCAGGCAAATTACAGTTTATACCAAATACTAGAGCACTGAAATAAGAAGAAAATGGAAGGGAAAAAACATCGGACATGAGAATAGATGCTAAGGCCACTTGATGCTGTTAGGAGAAATCTGTAATAGAGCCTCTCAAAATATAAGCAGTAATTACAGTCATTACAGAGTATTAAAAAATCCAAATGGCTTTCAATTCATACTTGAAGATATTAAAAATAATCTAAAGAAGATTGCAATCAAACAGTTGTAGGGATAGAAGCAAAGTTCATGATGTGTGTGTGTGTGTATGAAAAAGAATTCAGCAGTATGTTATCTGACTAGCTTACTGTTACAGAAATAATTTCTTCCAAGATCATTAAAAACCAAGGACTCTGGTGGAACTCAGCAGTACAACATGTGCCTAGTATATATAAGTGCTGGGATTGATTATCAATGCTGCAGTGAAACAAAAATCTCATCAGAAAAGGGTCTCAAGAATAATCATATAATAGACATAACAAAAACCCTTTTAACTGTTTTTGAATAAAATATTTTAATAGCCGGGCACCGGTGGCTCATGCCTGTAATCCTAGCTACTCAGGAGGCTGAGATCTGAGGATCACGGTTCAAAGCCAGTCTGGACAGGAAAGTCTGTGAGACTCTTATCTTAACCACCAGAAAACCGGAAGTGGCACTGTGGCTCAAGGGGTAGAGCACTAGCCTTGAGCTGAAGAGCTCAGGGACAGTACCCCAGCCCAGAGTTCAAGACCCACGACTGACAAAAAAATAAAATAATTCACTAAATCAACAATAAGGCTACAAGTTACCTTCAACCTGATAGATGAAAGTAGGTTTTTTTAAAAATAGAAATCTCATAAAAGTTTTAGTAAAATATAAATATTCATTCCAGAATCAACAGCAGGATTATTGCTGACACAGTATTGTTATCTGCTTGTAAGGAAATTATATATACTGCAACTATGTGACATTTTCTCCATAAAATATTTGTCAATGTAATATGATAAAAAAGTTAAACTCAAAATAGGAATACTGGAGAATATCACCACTTTTGTCTGCATACCAAAGAAGAAACAAAAAAAATATCACTACATATACATAGAAGGGAATTAAATGCAATTGCCATTATAATAGCAAAAGCAGAATTATTTTTAGTCAGAAGGGTACTGTTACTCTATTTTCTCAATATCAGGTTGTATTCAGTTTCCCAGTCTGGACTGAACTCACTTTATGTCCCAGATGGGCTGCAAAATCTTGATGATCGTGCCTTTGTCTCCTGAGGGCTGGGGTGACAGACACACATGGCCACATCCAAGGAGAGAAAAAAATTCACAAAACACTAACCACAGTCATAAAACATCGAGGAGCAAATGCCACGAAAATAGATAGTGAGAAAATGCATGGGATGACAACAAAGTTAACAGAACATCTTTCAATAGAAGTATGAGAACATATTTCAATAGAAGATGCCAGCAAGTAATAGCTGTGAGTTATAATAAATGTGACAACAATGATCCTAAATTTTATCTTTTGTATAAACATGTAATAAAAATGTCATGTTAGGAAGTGTCGTAGTTAGACTTTCCTAGCTGTATTGTTCAAAACATGGCACAGTAGATGAAGTTGAATTCAAATAAAGTCAGATGGAGCAAGTGAGTAGTGAGCTAGAGGAGAGGGAAAGAGAGAAGTAAAGGAAGGGAGGGAGGAAAGAAGGGAGGGGGAGGAGGGAGGTGGAATGGAGGTAAGAAGGGAGGGAGAGAGAGAAGAGAGAAAGAAGGGAGGGAGGGAGGAAAGGAGGAAGGATGGAAAAGAGGGAGGGAAAGAAGTAAGGGGTGGAGAAAGTAAAAGTAGAGAGGGGAAGGAAGTTGAAAACACAAAGAGCAGAAGCTAGAGAAGGCATCTTTGAATATGGAAAAGGAAATACTGAGATCTCCTTACAATTAGTTAAAATGGTAAAGGTTTTTGAAAGAATAACCACTAAATCTGCCAAATGTGAGTCCTGTAGAACCATTGAGTGGCAGGGCGTGTCTTTGTACCTGGAGGGCTCCAGTGGATGAGATGAAAGAAGGCTCTAGTCTGTACTGCCAAGTGGAAACCTGGAGGATGATGTAGTTTTTCTCTGTACCTACATGCATGGATCCAAAAAGATTCTCTTAGCTTTCCATTTGTTTATGGCGTTGGCTTTAAACCCCATTGTGTACGTGTGTTTTTGGGTGCCAGCCGTATTTCTGCAAAAATCAGATCACAGGGCTAGCCAGTGGCTTTTCTTCACATCATTTTACCATGGTGGGGGCGGGGGAGGGGGATTTGGACTCACGTCACTTGAGGGAGCTAATAGGCCCTGCAACATGGTCTTTGCTGGTAGGAAATCGCCCAGGGATTGTGAGTGTAGTCCAGTCTGCTGCGTCACTCTCCTAATCATCGGAGAGCCACTCCGCCTGACACTGGTGCTGCTTTCAAAACGGAGTCACCAGTATTAGCTTTATTCAGCAGTAGCATCATCTCATTGGAATGATGGTGACCACCTCGATATTTACTTATTAAATATTTCCAGCCCCGTCATGTTTCTACAACTGCTCCATTCTTTTTGGAGTTCTCATCTTCCTGCTGGATTCTCTCGATGACCTCATTTTTAGGGAAAATGGTGACCTGCACAAAGCCAGTGCTGAATTCCAGATACTATCTGCGGGATGGATACACGGCCTTACAAATTTGATAATTCAAGGAAGCAAATGTGCATGGCCTTTGCTAAATGACTGGTGTAATGGCCACATGTCCTCTCTCAAATTTGCTTTGTATCCATAATAAATTTTAACCAGTTTAGCTTGATGTTTGTATGATGGTTAATTTTAAATGAACTAATATTTTATCCAGTGATACAAGTAAAACAGACCAATTGGACAGTGGGGAGGGGATTTCTAAGATGTTAATGGAGCTTGGGTCTGAACATGTGCTTGTGGCCTTTTTTGTAAAGCTGAGTTATTTTCCCGTGTTTTTTTCTCCCCTTTTGTCTCCCCATATAAATATGAAGTGAGGAAAAAGAGGATGTGCAAAATGGCAAAAATGGAAGTAGAGAATTTTTTAGGGGGAAGAGGAAAAAAGAGGGCGCTCAAGTTTTTAGAAGATATAATAAGCAGAGCATGGGTAGCTATTGATGTAAACACTGGATTGCTTTTGTGGCACAGAGAGGCTAAGTTTTGGTTCTTCCTAAGTTCTCTTGAGTGCACAGGACAGTAGAGGAGAAAACAGGACTGAAAAATCCTCATAGTATGAGAGAGAGAGCGCATGATGTATCACTTATTTTGTTCTTTCAGCTTCTCTGACAAAGAACAAAACCAAACCAAACAACAAATCCAACCCAGCCACAAACTCCCAACCCTATGTAGATTACATACTCAAAATGTTGTGATATTTAGAACAATGAAAGTAATTTTTTGTTTACACCGACATTAAAATACTTCCTTAGCTGTCTTTGGACACCTGAACTATAATAAATATACTTGAGGCTAATCGAGATGGTTGATAATTGCTAGCATGTTATTGCACACCGAATGGTAGTTTTCCTTTTTCTGTGTATCAAACACATTGATTATATCCCTATAATGCAAAGGAGAGTTTTCAAAGACTTTAGAGAGAAAGTTAATACATGTGTTAGAGTAGTAAGTTTTAGACTGTTGATTTTATTCCATAGTGATCTAAATATGTAATATTCGGTATATTAACCATCTACCTCATAATCTCTGGTAGCTTTAATATTCTACTTTCTGTTAACATTCCTTTGCGGATGTGTGCATATGATGCCAAATTAATAAACAAGAAAAAAATCATGGTAAATAGTGTGTCTTGCTAGGATTTAGTTGAAGTAAAGAACTTGCTAGAAATAAATCTGTGGTCCTTGATTTTCACATGAATCTGGGGTGTCCAGCATGACGTTTTTAAGCACTCAAGTGATTCTTACAGTGGAAAAACTGAGAAGATATTAACTCTTTTGGTTATCCCCAAAGAGTCAACTGTGTTTAATTTTAGTTTTGAATGACCTCCCTCAATCATGACATTCATTAGTACAGGTGATTAAAATTACTGCATTTGAACTACTAAAATCTTTAAATTTAGAAGGTAAGTGCTTCTTTCTAAAATAATAGCAGTGTATTGCATTCTATTCTTATTTTCTGTGCTATATAAATGTTCAAGAGTTAGGTTTATTAAAGAATTTTATTATATATTAAGTAGAGAATTGCAAAGTTGGTCTATATTTGTCTTTATCAAGTTAAAATGCAGTTGAATTTATCTAAATTTATGCATTTAATTTTTTTTCCATTTGCAGGGTACAAGTTGAATTCTACATGAATGAAAACACATTTAAAGAGAGATTAAAGCTATTTTTCATTAAAAACCAGAGATCAAGTAAGTTTTTTTTCATTCCTGTCTTATGTGTTTGTAAATATTTCTCCCTCAAAATTCCAGCTGTGCGAAATGTTTTTCACATAGCAAAAAAATGTGGTGAGGTTGCTTGACAGACAATAAAATCATAGGAACGATAGGTGTGAAATCTAGTACCGTGAATGTTTTAGGAACTATAAATGTTAAATGTAGTAGAGTGAATATCTCTTCCATACTTTCAATTTTCCAAATCCCACACGAATGTGGAGGCCTCTGTGTGGGCTACTTGAATTTGCACAAACATTGAGGAAGCTAACTTAAATGAGAGGAATCACACTCATAAGTGTGAGGGGCAGTGTGGAAGACTGTACTTTGACAAGGCTCTGTGGTTTGACTGGCTACAGTACAAGCATAGGGTGAGTCTTAGAACTTAGCATTCCAATGACACTTATCATGGAATAAACGAGGAACACTGGAAATTCAGAGGGATGTGATATAGTCATAATCTCTGCCCTTTCAAGGTCACTGTGTCAGTGATAACTTACTGACTTGCCTTAAGAATGAATAATTTTGAGACCATGGATCCTATTACTATGTTCACTGCTTACAATTTCCATAACCATGAGCCATGGTTTATGTAGATGTTTGTCTACCTGAATTTTGACAATGGAGCCCTCTTAGAGTATTTAAAATTAATTTGTCCTTCAGTAGGTAGGGACCACCTGATTTGTAAGAATTTATCCAAAGACTGGCTGCTGGTCATATTTCAATATTCAAGGTCCACCCATTAGATGTTCTTAATGGTAGACTAGCCTCTAAGTTAAAGCTGATAATAACTACAGCTCTCCTGGCCTGGTTATTTACAACTTCCCCAAGAAAGCCTCATGGGTAAATAATATGTGAAGGGGCCATGCTGTTTGAATGAAGGTGTCTCCAATTTTAATAGGGGCTGTCCTGTCTTTCCAGGACAGAAAAGGTGAATTGCATTGTTTGAATCCTCCTCTGACTACCACGGAAAGCCATTCACATGAAACAAACGCAAATCCATGAATAATTTAAAAGACTTCCATATGGAAGCTAACTCATCAAATATACTCACTATTTTAATAGGAAAACCTAGAAAAAATGATATAATTAGGCATTAACCTTTCTACAGAAATGTTACAAAGTACACTCACAGACAGTGTTGTAAAAAAATAAAGTGACATTTTACTTCTAGATTTATTAGGAAATAATTATAGGATGCACTTTCTCTAAATTTTATTCAAAATGTGTAAATCAAATACCACTGTCTAATTGCTGGCAAGATAATGCTCCTATTAATCAGACCATAAGCGTGTTTTGCTTAACCTTAATTACTTTTCTTCATCACCATTAAGTCTTACGGGCTGTACAATTGTGACCTAATAGTTGAAAAGATATATGTGTGTGGTAGTCTACATTCTCACCACATTTCACTGACATTTAACCTAATTGAGAGACACGGTTCAATTGGCTCAGGGGAAGAGAGAAGCAGGAGATGGAGAGAAGAAAGAATTGTGTTTCTTAGCATACTATTATGCTTTATCTCTCTGTAATTATACAATTAATATGCAACTTGTAATTATATAAATTGGTATATACCATTCTGCAAACATATAATTTAAAATATCACATATAATTACATAAATGTAAGTATCATTTCCCTGTTATCAATCTACAAGGTGCCCTGGAGCTCCAAGATTTATTATTTATTCTACATACATACAGGAAGCTAGATTTTATAACTTGCTCAGCTTTATCCCCCAGTTCATGGATATAGAAAATGCTGAAAGTTATAAACCCACTCAAACTAGCCTTGATGGGACTTGGCTGTTGTGTCTTCTAGTTGTTTCATTAATAAAAATTTATTAATTTTTTTTTGCAAGTCCTGGGGCTTGAACTCGGCCTGAGCACTGTCCCTGAGCTTCTTTTGCTCAAGATTAGCACTCTACCACTTGAGCCGCAGTACTACTTCTGGCTTTTTCTGGGTATGTAGTACTGAGGAATCGACCCCGGGCCTTCATTCATGCTAGGCAAGCACTCTGCCACTAAGCCCCATTCCTAGCCCCTTCTAGTGTTTAGAACCCACACTTCCTCTCAGGAAACATAGTTGGCTACCATTTGTAGCACATGTAACTAAAATGCATCTACCGTGAACTGCAGTGAGTTTAGACTATTACAGCATTGTAGTTTCTAAACAAAACCTAAGTGAGTGTTTTACTGAAAGTCAGTGTATATAACAATCCTTTGTGATCTTTCATGAACTAAGTTCAAATGAAAATCAAACTTTTGTTGTTTGTTCAAAGGTCTAAGAATACGTCTGTTCAATTTTTCTCTCAAATTATTAAGCTGCTTATTATACATAATCCGAGTGCTACTAGAAAGCCCTTCACAAGGAAACGAATGGTAAGGTACCTTTGTCTGGACTTCCAGAATATTCTTGTATTTATTTTGAATTGTATTACATACATTTTGAAGGACAAGTTGTGGAATTAATTTTTTTTCAAGATGGGAGGTGTTTGTCACAAACCAATTTGGGTTTCCTGTAATACATTAATGTTTATAAACTTTTAGTCTTGTATTGTTTTTCTAGTTGTCCAGTTGATAACACTGTATTCTGCATAATCAAACTGGTATTGCCATCCAAGATGCTGGAAATAATTATGTTCAAAATGGCTCACTCTGTGTGTGTGTATGTCTGTATGTGTCTGGCACAGAACATGTGCCAGTACAGTGGTTTGAACTCAGGTCTAAGGCCCCGAGTATCTGTTTTTGCTTAAGGCCAGTACTTAAAGCCACTGCTCTATCTGAATTGTTGGTGGTTAATTGGAGATAAGAGTCTTATTATGGGCTTTCTGACTGAGGCTGGCTTTGAATCGTGGTCCTCAGATCTCAGCCTCCAGAGTAGGTTAGGATTACAGGTATGAGCCCCAGTATTCAGTCATCTCTGTGTCTTTAAAGACCCGAATGCAGTTCTATTCTTGATCTTTTCTACTGCTTGAAGGTTCAATCTGTATCATGCTGGATTTTTCCATATTTCCAGTTATACTGAAGTTACAGTATGAATTTTTTCAATAGAAGCATAAAAGCAAGCTTGGGATTTCACATTTAATGTCTCTAGTTTCAGATGTGGCCTGTGTAGTTCTTTCTATTGAATTAAACTAGATTGATTGACTTTCAGTTACTTTTTTCATCCACAATCCTGTTGTTTCTCTTAAATTGAACTTCTATTCATTCATGGGCTTCCTCTTGTTAGGCTCCGCCCTTTTGTATGGGTATTTAGTAAAGTGCTCCATGCCACACGGCTGGCCAATAAGTTCATAGTGATTTTCTAAGCAGAGAGTTAAATGTGATGACTAACTTCTCCCACGACTGTTTTCCTTTCAATGTGAAATTTTACCCTCAAATAATTAAAAGACCAGATATGAAAGTGCCACAATAGCTCATAATATGCATTCTCATGAACTGAGGATTCTTTAGTATGTTTAGATACTAAAGACTTCTTTGCATTTATTCAAAAGTGTAGAGAGACACGATAAAGATCATCCTACAAGAATTTTTATCAGGCAGTGATCTGTGTGATGATTCTGCATAAAATAAAAATTGCCTAATAAAATTTAGTGATAGATATTTCTAATAAGTTTTTTTTATTGTGAGAATACTGTACAGAGGGGTTACAATCACATGAGTAAGGTAATGAATAGATTTCTTATCAAGCATTGTTGCCTCCTTCTTTGTTTTTCCCCTACCATTCCTTCCCTCCCACCTCCACAACTACAGTTCCCCCCACCTTGCCTAAATTATAAAGTTCATTTTTGGACATAGCCTCTTGTACATTTCATTGTTGCAATGGGTCCACCTGTATCCCTATTTAAACAATTTGTTTTTTCCCTTCCATTCCCCAAATTATATCAACATCAAATACAGTGAAAACAGGGCTTATACCGTGGGGGCGGGACATACAAAGACAAAAAATCACGTACTTAACATGTCCTGTCATCTTACAGGGAAGTCACGTCAAGATAGAGGTACACAAGACCACTCCATACACTGAGGAATTAGGTTTTATTGGTGGTAGGGTTTGAACTCAGGGCTTTACCTGTTGATCAGGAGCTCTATCACTCCAGCCATACCTCTAGCCCTTTTTGCTTTGGTTCTTTATGAGATGAGGTGTCACATTTATGTCCAGCTGGCCTGAACCACAATGCTCCTATTTCCACATGGCTGGGAGAGTAGTGCATGCCATAGCACCAAACTCTTGGGTGAGATGAGATCTCATAAAGTCTTCACTGTGGTGGACTTAATCCCTGGTCTTCTTGATCTCTGCTTCCCCTGTAGCTAAGATTACAGGGGCTGCCAATATTCCCAGCACTCCAAGGACATTTTCAACCTGTGCAAAGATTGTTTATCTTGAGATTCTTGCTGTTTTCTGGCAAGAGACTAGTGACTGTATGTATGTTATTTCCTGAAATACATATTTTATCATTCCTATACTAAATGTGAAGAATCAGAGCTATTCTTCCCCTTCCTCCTCTCGCGTGAAGACATTCGGGGTGGACCCTGAGCCTTGTAGCCTGGTTTACATCAGTGATCAAGGGATCCGGGCCTTTCCATCTCCCAAACTGCAACCGCATGTTCAGCTTCTTGGCTGCTAAAGGGCATCCCAGACCTCTTCATGGCCCAGCCACCTTCTGCTGTGTCTTCCGTATTGCATGATTTGCTCACTGCACGCGGCATGATTTGCACTGGGCCGCTTGGGAGAGCCACGTCCCTGGTGCGGCCGCCCTCGCTCCTCCCCCTGACCCCAGCCACCTTCGATTTGGACTTCTCATTCGGACTTGGCTCCCATCAGGCTCGTTCTTAACAGTGAGCGTCATTCCCCCTGCAAGACAGAAGCCTGGTCTTGATACTGCTGTGCCTCAAACTCCAAGCACCGAGAATAACCCAGAGCTCCTTCCTCTCCACCCATTCTTGTGCACGCTCTGCCCCTGCACTCCCTGGTCATGGGGGGGGGCACGGCTGGGTCAAGGCCTTCCCCCTTCTGGCCATCAGATCACGCAAGGTGTGTTTCCTCAACACAAGCAGGTGTTTATGTGCATGTTGAACGTGTGTGGTTTAATATCAAGCTTTGGTTGGTTGGCTTGTTTTCCCTGTCAGACTTGACATTCCATGATGGCTTAGAGGTTGGCCTACATCTCCATAGCCTGGGCCCATGAGTCATAGTAGATGAGTAAAACACTTCCTCTGTCCTCTCTCCTCCTGCCGCCTGCCTTCTATTCTAGTAGTGTGGGGCTCAGCTTCTTCTGCCTCATCTCATGGCTCCTTTTCAGAAACGTGTTTCCCATCTCTCCCTTCCTCCCCCCACCACTAACTGTGGTTCAACTTGTGTCAGGGATGCCTGGATTATTTCTGGGATCACAATGTCTTGGCTACACTTTAATCTGAAGCTCTCAGCGGGCATCCGGCCCATGGCCTTGTGAGGGTTACAAGTGGTATGTGGACACAGCCAGGACAACCTTCTCCCACGAACGCATTGCATTTCATTCGGCCATTTTCCTACCTTCTCTGTATTCTGATCCAATACCAGGACCGTGCCGTCTCGGCCTCTTTCCCTCCCATTCTGCGCGGGAGATTTGTCGAGTCAGGCAATCGGAGGGAAGCAGTGAAATGATGCCCAACTGTCACGATATTTGACACAATGCAGCTGATTGGGGATCGCAGCCCAGGGACGTGATACCGTTGATGACTCTGTTTTATTAAGCACGGTGCACGTGAAAAGCTTGCTCCTGTTAGCATGCCACAGTTGAATTTTTTAAAAACACTTGGTGATTTAGAAATGAAACAGACACAAGAGAGACCCCCAAAAATCACAAAATGATTCACGAAGAGCCTTTCCACGTGGGGTGAAGGTTGGGGGAAGACACCAGCAGGTGATGGCAGAGTAAAGTCCTACCATTTGGAAACCATAGTTTCCTACAATTAGCTTGCATGCGATATTGCTAGGAGTACTTAGCCGTCATTACAGAGGATATACATTTGACAAATCAGATTACTGTAATTAAAAAAGACATGCCATGAGCTAACTTGCCGTTCCAGGTTAAGCACCATATTCTGTTTAGATCTCATTGTCAGTGCAGTCCTGGTTAATGAAAAGCAGAAGTAGCCTTGGTGGGGCGCAGAGTCTATTTTAGAATAATGAAACTCATTCAGCAGGGAGATTTATTGAATTAGAGCTTCTGACATGATAGGCTGGCAGGTATTTTATGCTGTCTGGGTTTCATTTATAAACTCCCTCAGGAATCAAAACCTCTATGAAAGTGTGGCCCAATGGGCAAATGGAAGGATAGGAACATCATTTTACTGTTAAGGTCTGACACTGTGCAGGTAGGAGCTGGCCTGTGTGGACAAAACGCAGTTTGGGATTCCAAGGTGTTGGCAAAGGACAGGCACCACAGCATGTAGTGTGTGAGTTAGATCAAAAGGCAAGACCTGAGCTGCGTGTGTTTCCACTTTAAAAATTATTGAAAGAGGCCAGGTGCCGGTGGCTCACGCCTGTAATCCTAGCGACTCAGGAGGCTGAGATCTGAGGACCTCGGTTCAAAGCCAGCCCGGGCAGGAAAGTCCATGAGACTCTTATCTCCAATAAACCTCTAGAAAACCAGAAGTGGCGCTGTGGCTCAAGTGGCAGAGTGCTCCACTTGAGCTGAAGAGCTGAGGGACAGCACCCAAGCCCAGAGGTTTTCTACTACTCAAAGTTGAAAAGTTTCTACTTGCTTTGTCTCAAAATAAGTAGCCAAATGAAAGAATTTTGTTCACATTGTTTGCTTGAGTTGGTTCTTTTTTCCACTGTGTTTTGGTAAGGTGATTTTTCATTCAGTAATTCATGATTTCGCGACTGACTCATGCTTAGGACAACATGAATCCATATGACAGGGAGAACAAAGTAGAAATCACCCCGACATGTAGCCAGAGGCCCTTGGGGTATTTAAAAATGTCATGTATGAAGTCTCTCTGTGTGCACATCGGCATACAACACATGACCCGCAATGTTAATTTTGTTCTCAGTGACGATGTTGTTATAGAAGTTGATGAGGATGCTACTTTAATTCACTTATTAGATCCACTTACATTCCTGCTGTAAATAATCCTGCAGTGCCGTGTGCCTGTGTGGGCTTTTTTTCCTTCCTGTGCTTTTTATCTATGAGATTGGAAGGACCATGTGGCCTTGGTTTTATTTGCTCCTCCTTGTTTTGCAGCTTATATAGGAGTTTGTAGATCAGATTGCACATGAACATTAGGTTTTCATGGGAAATCCATTTTTTTTTGAAGAACACTAGCTTTCTACCAAATGGATACATTTTCTTGTCTTTTTGAAAAATCGAACTTAATAGTAAGGAAATTGGTGACAAGGTGGCTTTTCACTGGAATTTCTCATCTCATTGAAATATATATATCGGAGATACGTAGATATTTTTCATGTGTTGTCATTTCTTTTACATGACATAGTCCTTTTTATTTTAACTCAGTGAATTACACTTGCTAGGCAGGCACTCTACTCCTTGAACTATGCTTTCTGCCCTTTTATGATTTAGTGCTTTGTTTTTAGATAGGATCTTTTCTTCTCAGATGAGTTCTTGGACTGAGATTCTCCGACCTCTGGCTCTTGTATAACAGTGACCACAGTTGGAGCTCTCAGTAACTTTTTGTCCAGAGTATTCCTAGAACCTTGATCTTCTCCATCATATATGTATATTTATATCTTATATATAATCTTATTTAACTTATCTATTTCTAGAGCATTTCCATTGTTTACAAGAAAATATCCTAGATGAAAGATAATACCTTCAGTTAAAAATAACCAGATCTTAGTTAAGTCTATGTTATTTATCAGTTTCCCTCTGAAAGCGCTCACCGACTTAGGTTTAGCTATCTATTTTATAGTTTTCCAGGGACTACTCTTCTTGGTTGTTTAGAAGTTGTTGAAGTCCATGATTTCTCTCTCTGCCAGCACCAAGCATATGTCCTCCTCCACTCTGACATTCCTTGTTTGTGTCTGATTTCTCAAATGTGACTGAGAATATAACAGAAATGTGTTGGGAAGACAGTGAACTCATCATCTCTATCTGTGTCTTGCCTGGCGTCGTGCAGCATTAAAATGGATGTCTAGTCTACTATGTGCCTGTGAGTAAAATAGATGTATTAGTAAATGTTCGAGCACTTGGCATGCTGGTGGTGACATCCCTTAAGGATACAAGCTTTCAAACACTTGCCACGTTTCAATGGAGAGATGTGGAGGAGAGATGTAGTGAACCCCACTAAGACATTGGTTGATGCCATTGTCAACTGGAATTCTCAGAGCTTTCTCTGGTGACACAGGGACAGAGGGTTCAGCCAAGAGCCCTGGACAACACCCCTAGACAGAAGATTCAAAAGGCTTGTAGAGGAAAGGTGATGAGTACACTTGAATAAGTCTAGGATTTCTGTGACAAGGATTTTGGTCTTTAGTTTTTGCGTGTGCGTGTGTGTGTGTGTGTGTGTGTGTGTGTGTGTGTGTGTGTGTGTGTGTGTGTCTGCACTGGTGTATGAACTCAGGGCCTCAGGCTCTCACTTGGCTTCATTGCTTAAGTTTGAACCACACCTCCACTTCTGGGTTTTGGCTGGCTAATTTGAGATATGAGTCTCATGCATTTTTCTGCCTGAGCTGGCTTTGAACCGTGATCCTCAGATCTCAGCCTCTTTAGTCATTAGGGTTACAGGTGTGAACTACAGAGCTCTCCTTGTAGACAACATTTGGAGAAGACACTTGTGGTCTGTTACTATATAATGTTTTGTGCCAATGTCACTTACTGTTTTTTGTAAATCTATTAACTATTTTTATAGAAATACAGGGGCTAGGAAGGTGGCTCAGTGGTAGAATGTTTACCTTGCATGCATGAAGCCTTGGGTTTGATTCCTCAGCACCGCATAAGCAGAAAAAGCCAGAAGTGGTGCTGTGGCTTAAGTGGTAGAGCACTAGCCTTGAGCTGAAGAGCTGAGGGACTGTGCCCAGGCCCAGAGTTCAGGCCCCATGACAGACAAAAAGAAAAAAAAAAGAAATACAGATCTGAAATAGTAATGTGTCCTCTATTCTCAATTACTTACTTTATGCTTATTGTTTATACTGTTGACTTTGTATTACACAACTATTAACACACTTAAAACTGGGTGCCAGTGGCTCATGCCTGTAATCTTAGCTATGCCGGAAGCTAGGGTCTGAGCATCAGGACTCTAAATTAGTCCAGGAAGACTAACTTAGAATCCTGGAAAAGGAGGTGTGGCTCACTCGGTAGATTGCAGTCAACCTTGAGTGAAGAAGCAAAAAAGGACAGCGCCCGAGTCCTGAGTTCAAGCCCCAGTATCAACACAAAATCACAGCAGCAAGAACGAAAACCTCAAAGATAAAACAGAGTTTTAGCAGACCCTTATATAAGTATTCAATGAAGAAGTATCTGGCAAAGGGTTTGGTTTGTTTTCCTTTCCCCTTGCAGGCTATATCCAGGTTTAAGTAATGACCTGTTTTTATTTTCATTCATTGTTAACAGTAACCAAAAAATGAAATGAAAAGAGGCTTTCTCACAGCCCCACAAACTAAACACCTGGAAATGGATACTCAAAAGAGGGGACTGGGGTCAAGGAGAGGGGGGAGACGAATGAAGAGAGGAAGTGGGGAGATGGCAGTCCTAATACTCAAGGTCTGTCTTACAAAATTAAGAAGAGTGAAGGAGGGCGTGAGCTGGGAGGGTGGAGAGAAAGCTGAAAGGGCTGACATCCATCATGGACAGCTTTGTTACATGGCCACTTCTTTGGACAAGTATTTAAGTGTAATAAAGTAAATATTAAAAACGAGGAGGGGTTTTGCTGGAATAAAGATGATTCTTACCAAGAAAGGCAAAGATCAGTGACATTTTTCTACAGGTAATTTGCATATCTCACTGTCTCTTTAATGGTAGCATTATTTTAGTACTTCAAACAGTAATTGAAGTCTCTAAAAGCATGATTTTTAAAAATAATTTGTTGTTTTAAACTAACATTTATACCTTTCTTTTCTTAGGTCTCACATCTTTTGGGTGAATAGAAGTCTCCCTCTATGGGGATTGCAGGTTAGGTTCAATTTTCTCTTATTCCTACATTTCTGGGTTGAGTCATGTTTCATAAAGATATATGACCATAAGAAGAATTGTTGAGATTCAAAGTAAGTTTTTCTTTCCTCTGAATGTTTATTCATATTTTAGACTAATTTTTTATTGCTTTTGTCTTGCTTTCCTCAGTGGCTCATTCTGTCTTGTGAGAATTTCCTTCTGATCAGGGTTAGACTCTAGACAGTATAAGAGTATGGAGGAAATAATAATAAGGCTTTATTTTTTTCCAAACTGCTTCATTTGTATATTTCTGTTTTGGATTTACTTGAAAGTCAAGACCAAGGTCCATCAAGTATCTCTACTTTTTACCTTATACCATCCTGGGCACATGGTTGAATCCCTTAGGTAGTTTTTGAATGAATACATGAGTCCTGACACTGATAGTTAGAGCTAAGTTCCCAAGTAGCTAATTGTGTAAATAGGAGAACAAAACATTATTCTGTAAGAAGAGTCCTTAAGAAAGGGCTCTTTCTTACAGAGAGAGCAGCATGTCTGAAGTACCTTCTTAAGCAATTACCCAGAATTCTGTCACAGACTTCAAATTGGAGATTCAAAAACAATTGAGTTGGGGGAAGGGGAAGAATTCGAGATCCACGGATTCTGAGCTTTCTTTAGAACACGCTCAGATCAAAGGTTTGCCTTATTTTTTAATGCTGTGCTGATTGGGAAGTCTACACATTGTCATAATGAATCAAATCTGTGTTGTGATAATTATGCAATCAGAATTTTACTATGGACATGACATGGTTTATTAAGGTGAAGTTCATTTTTATGTTGGTTTCCATTGATTTTTGTTTAGGTGTCACATTCCTATATGAACAATTCTTTCCACATATATATGTTTTCATTGAAAATATAGTCAGTTATTCTCACACCTAGATTTCTGTTTCCCTTTCAACTAAAATGAATTAGTAATTTATGAATATTCATCTATTGTCTCAAATACATTTTGATCTATTCAAATTCATTTTATTTAATAGTCTTGTTTTAAAAAGAATATTCTTCTCTAAAAAGAATTCCAAGTAACATGCTAAAAATATCTTAAGGATCATCTAGCAATATGCACCTCTGGGAAGCAGGCTGGCTGATTTAATTTAGTAGCTTGTGGAGAAAATCAAGGAGCTTAAACTTTCTTATTGTAATCATGCCCGGCTCTTGAATGTGATTGTGACTTCTTTTATTTATACCACTAAACAGTTGTCTATTTTTATTTCTCCCATTTTGTTTTTATTCCAAGATGGTGACTTAAACTTGTTCCTTGATGCTTTTACTCATTGGCTGTTGTTCTAACTCAGCAACACTTCCAACCTCAAAGGATTGGTTGTTTTTTTTTCTTTTTGTCCCCATACCCATATTCAATATTCACATAAATTAAAAACTTTCATTCCAGTACCAGACAACACTTAAAACTAGAAGCTACCTGTCTTTTCAATTCAGAGCTTAAAAACCTATTAACAAGCCAGGAACCAGTGGCTCACGCCTGTAATCCTAGCTACTCAGGAGGCTGACATCTGAGGATTCGCCTAGATGAATTAACTACTCAAAATCCAGAAGTAGTTCTGTGGCTCAAGTGGTAGAGCACTAAGAGGCTCAGGGACAGTGCCCAGGCCCTGAGTTCAATCCCCACAACTGACAACAACAAAACACAACAAAAAAGAAAACCTACGAACACATGTGTTTATTACTTGAATCTATTCTTTTATTCCTTTAAATTATTTGAGACTCTTAACCCAGAATAATTTCTGCAGTTCTTTTTTCTAGCTATATTTTTTCTGTTGTGATGATGTTTTTCTGACGTTGATGGTAGAAATTGAGTCTATCATAAGGATTCTAGGAAGAAGTATGTTTAAGAGGGTTTTGTTCCTCAGCTGTCAAGGAAGAATTGGTTACAAATTTCTTTGAAATGAATCCTGAAAGTGGTTCGAAGTGTTGATGATGTTCTATGTTTAGATTTCCCTCTGTGTAAGGTGGATGATAGAGTTAAATATATTCAATATGGTTCTGGGCTTGAAATCAAGGTCTGGGCTCTGGGCTCTGTCTCTGAGCTTTGCTGCTCAAGGCTTTGTGCTCCAGCACGTGAGCCGCAGCTCTCCTTCTGGCTTTTCAAAATTTAATTTATTTTTATTTTTTATTTAATTTAATTTGTTTTCCTTCTGGCTTTTTGGTGGTTAATCGGAGATAAGAGTCTCACGGACTTTCCTGCTGGCTTTGAGCAGCAATCCTCAGCTCTTAGCCTCTGAAGATTTACATGTGTGAGCCATCCGTGCCCAGCTCATATTCTTTTATTTTTTGTATTTCTATGAAGGAAATACTGATTCTGGTAGTGGTATTGCTGGGAAGGGGCAGTTGGTTTGGGTGTGCAATTGTGTGTGATTGTAGACGCTAGGAAGGAACACACACACATGCACACATAAAAAGAAAAACAAAAAACCTTTTCTGTTTTGGTCGTAGTGGGGTTGGAGAAATAACCGCCTTGTGCTTGCTGGCAGGTACCCCGCCACCTGAATCAGACACCTAACCTTTTTTACATTATTTGTTTTATTCTGCTTTTTGGGTAGCAGCTTGTCTTTTTGCTGAGAGCTGTACTTGGCCCTCAGTCCTCCAGTCCATATAGCTCATGTAGCTGGGATTAGAGTGGCACACCACCACATCTGTCTTGTTTGCTGAGCTGAAGGTCTCACTATCTTTTCTGCCTGGTCTGGTCTTGAACCATGATCCTCCCAATATCTACTTTTGAGTAGCTGGGATTGCAGGTGTATGTACCATCATGCAGAGTCCAAGAACAAGTCCTTTATGTATTATGAGGATCTGGACAGATGCTAGAATTGATCAAAACTAAACTAGCATAGAGGAGACAGAGGATGTACAGTAGGAAACAGCAGAGGCTGTACAATCTGCCATGTGCTAGGTCTGTCATCGGTGTAAAGATCCTAAACACACACATACACACCACATATACACAAAGTATCTACGCGCGGCTGTGTATGTATGTAAATTTAGCAGAATGATTCTGACTGTGGATTTTAACTCTATCGCCTTTTCTCACTGAGTTACAATGTACATTTTTAGGTCTCCGTGGCCTTGATCAGTCTGTTTGAGACCATCCTGCTTGGCTATCTCAGTTATAAGGTGAGTGATTTTCCCGAGCACGGCTGTGCTGCAGCAGCTACAGGCTCCACATGTTTCCCCAGTCTTGGTTTGCCTACGACTCCTGCTTGGGAATCGGGCAGGCTTTTCTTAAACCTCCGTAATTGTGTTGAGCCTCTCCAGCAGGTGCTAAGCACTATAGCAATAGAGTGAGGCTGCTTTGAGAGCCCCTTCACTAATTCGGATGGGTTGATTGACTTCCACGTTTGTCGCTGTTAAGGCAAATGGAAGGGAAAGTCTGCATTTTTATGCCCTTTTGTCTCTGCTCATAATGTGTATAAATTTTTTTTGACAGAGTAAAACTATGTCTGTTAGGAAATATTTTTGCCAATGATGCTAATTAATGGTGAGGCTTATTAGTTTTGGCTAACGCCACCTAGCAAATTGTTATTGGAGTGCTTTATGGATGGGGAATTTGATGCATGGTGATCTTTCCTCAAGGAGTTTCCAATGCAGAGAAGGGAAGAGGGCTTCCTGTGACGTGTAAATAAAGTAGGCCATGAGGTCAATGAGAGAGGTGGTAACTTTGGATGGAAAGGAAATACTTGCCTGATCAGCAGTCCTACAATCGGCGATTTCCACAAAAAACAAGAGGGAAAGACTGAGGAGGCTTGATAGAACTGGCAAAGATGTTAATGTGGAAAATGCATTTGCGTTGGATGGCTAATAAATGTATACAAATGGAGATTCTCACATCTCAGCCTCCCAGGTAGTGAGCTAGTGGTCCAGGTGTGAGCCAGCACTGCCTGGCTTGCATTCTTTCACTGTATTCTTTTGTTCTCACGGTTTATAAAACATGGGAGTTTTAATGCGGTAATTCGGCTTTCGGAATACAAATCCAGAACCTGTGTGCAGTTCAGGTCAAAGAGACATGACAGGTCACATTGCTGGACAGTGTTAACCAATGGTGAGGATCTAGTCAGTGAAGTAAAGGGTCCAGGTTGATGGACATTGCACAGGCTCATTGGTTAGGGGGTCCGGAGAGAGAAATACATGCCATTTTAAAGCCATGTGAGTCAGGATGACTGCTATTATGGTAGTCAAATTAAGAGAGAATCATAAAAAGAACAAAAGAAAAAGAATCCCAACAGGTTGCTGTGCAGATAGGTGGGCTTAATGGAATCGGACTTGGAGATGATGGATTCCGGGGGCCAGGGGCCAACCAGGGCAGCAGCATCTATAAGTAATTGAGGGTGAGGAGCAGGAACATGGAGGTAGAGATTCAGTAGTCCTTTCCACAGAGATGGAAAGAGTCATAAAGGTTTCCAGCAGCTGGGGGTCTGTGGCACACACCTGTAATCCTAGCTACTCTGAAGGCTGAGATCTGAGGATCCTGCTTGAAACTAGCCTATGCAGGAAAGTCTGTGCGACTTTTATCTCCAATAAACTACTCCCCCCACAAAAAGCTGGAAATGGCGCTGTGGCTCAAGTGACAGGAACAGAGACTAGGCCCTGGGTGCAGGCCCAAGGGCTGGCCAAACAGAAAAGTCTCTTGCAGGGCAGAATCTCCATAGTAGAACGGAAGGCTTGGGTTCATTGTTCTGGAAGAACAAAGCAAGCAGAGGAGACAGAGTCACAGTCTCTGGGGTTAAGAATCGCCATTGTTTTTTCCTAACAATTTATATGTTTTTACCAATACACATATTCAACCTTATCTCTTTCACAAACTCATATTATCAATTTCTTTCCTGTTTCTTAAAGCTTTATTTATGAATATTTATTCTCCTTTATAGTTTTATAAATGTATGATTATACATAAATATGTGACTTCTATATAATTATAAATAAGATATATAATTTTATATTATTTATTTCTTATTTATATTTGTTCTTGGTAGTACTGAGATTAGGACTTGGATATGGGGCCTCCCCATTGCTAGGCAGATGCTCTTCTATCAGAGCCATGCCTCCAGCCCTTGTAGCTTTGGTTAGTTTTCTTTTAGTAAGATTCTCACACTTTTTCCTGAGGCCAAGCTTGGGCCATCCTCCTCCTACCTCTGCTTCTCACATAGATAGGGTCACAGATGTGTACGAGAAAGCTGGCATATTCTTTGAGCTAGAGCATTGCTACCTTTGTACCCATATTTTTCTCCAACGATGATCCTCCTATCTCTGCCTCCTAAGTAACTGGGGTTGCAGGCTGTGGTGGGCTACCAGGCCAAGTTTTCAGACATACTGTTACAGTCATCTACAGAAAAGAACACTAATTTCTATGAAGGTTAGATTACTGAATAAGAACTTACAGACGAAAAACAACAACAAAGATTTCAAAATATAGAAGGGATAGTTAAATACTTATGAGAAAAATAAAGTTTTAGAAAAACCTAAGGAAGGAAAGTATTTTGTGAGAGCACGTGAGCATTGGCAAGTATGAGAAGCTTCTGGAAGGCCAAAGAGTTTAGAGATGAGTGTAGAGCATTTGCTATTCACCTGCGAATGACCAGGGTCAATGGAGTGCACTGAGATTAAAAATAAATAAATAAATAAATGGTTGAGTGGAGAACTTTGGCTGCCTGAAGGAGATTTCTAGAGAAAATGAACAAAGCAGAAATAGCTCACTGAGAATTGGTTGCAATGTTTGAACCAAAAGGAATGGGAAAAAGAAAAATAGACCGAAGAGGGAAGGTTAATGAAAACAGTGGAAAAGGAAGCTGAACTGAGAGATTTTAGGAAGTTGTTTTTCCTTCCTGAGAATTGAGAACATGCCACATGATCCATCAAGGAGTATTTCAAAGCTTGAGGGAGTAGAAAGCTTGGACAGAGCTGTCACACGTGCATGCATCCATTACCTGAAGAGAGCCAGATTTTTATAAGCTGTACAGACTAGGGGACAGTCTTTCAGTGGTTCATTTCTCCTTGCCAAAACACGTGCTCTGTATTTCTATCCTGATTGAAAAATCTGGATTTCTTTTGCACTCTCATGAAACAAAAGCAACATCTATAAATAAATTTAAATCTTGATCAGAACAAAAACCTAGTCATTAGTTCTTGAGTTCCTTCTTACGAAAATATTTGTTGTGTGTTGAATAATGCACAAAAAGTAATCCAGTTAACCAAGTAGACCTGAGCTTTATGGGTAAATCTGTCCTATCTCTCTCTGTACTACAAGCATATTTGCAGAAATATAACACAGCCAAGATAGTCTTCATTTGTGAATGCATTTGCTTCAAATGTTAGCTTATGCTGTCATGTGAAAACCACTTTGGTGTTTTGCTAAAAGAACTCTTTAGTTCTAATTTTAAAAAGTCATTGAAAAACACACACAGAGATGCCGGATAATTTTCCACTGCAATTATAGGATGATGGCATTTATAATTAATTACTTCCTCTCATTTATAAAACGGGAGCAGAACATTGTCAGACTTCGCATGCAGGGTTGGATGAAACATAAGCTTTCCACCCTGACCCTCATAAACATTAATGGCTTCGATGGGAGAGAGGGAGATGTTAAAGTCCAGTAATTTACAGAGGAAGGAGAAAGGAGAAAAAAAGACCTTTGTGACCACAGAAGGGTAAAATGCTATTAATTATCTTTTCCTCTCCTGAATTTGTGAAATCCTTGAACTCGTTTGACTTCTCCACAGTGCTGTGGAAACTTCTTTGGAATGCAGATATTAAAAAACTGGGAATTGTTTGTGGACTATAAATAAGAACTGGAAATGTACTCTTCTCTTCACACTGGGTTTTCAAGAAAAGCCATAGGCACATATGCAGAAATGGATATTTCCTTACATCAACGATTGGACACCTTCCTAATGCTATTTTATTTTTACATTTAGTGTCCTGAAATATCAACATGACTAGCAAATCAGCATATATTTTTTCTCGTATTTATTGGCATATTGCATGTGTGCATAATTCATACTTTTTACATATTACCTATGTGTAGATACATAAATATTGCATACACTGAGGGTCTTCATATGAACAAATATAGTGTTGGAATTAGGCATTCTTTATTTTGGAATTAGGCATTCTAAAATCAGCAATCATCTAACCTTTAACAATTAAAGCAGTTTAATCTGTCATGGAGACTGGGAACAAAATCAGCAAACACATACAGTGCATTTTGAAGTTAGCAGATAATGAAATAAAATCCACTGTGTCAACTGATTTTATCAGTTGTCCTAGCCAAGTACAGATGTCTGCCTCTCTGATTTCTCCATTCATGCTTATAGCTACTTGACAAAATGAACACAGTAATTCCCAACAGTAAAGTTTTAACTGGATTACTATAAATACCCTCTAATTCTTTATCAACCTCTTTCAAAATAGAACTCTATTTATACGCACATATTCATTAAGTCCAAGAGAAACAAAAACAAACTCCCACAAAACCCTCAAACTTCTGCCAACCAAAAATTAGCATACCTAGAAGCTTTTGTTAAGTTTACAATTGTTTTTCTTATAATCGCTTTACAAAAAGTTGCAGATCTAAAAAATGCAGCCCTATCCATAAAGGTTTTTTTTTTTCTTTTCTAGAAAGGAACAAAGAATTTAGTTCAAGTCTCATGTATGCATCACTCTAAGTAAGGCTAGTTCTTTCTACTAGGTGCTGGACAGTTAAACTTAATTAAGATTGGGTTTACTTTACTATTTTCAATTCATTTAAGGAAGATGAGAGCAGCCCTTGTGTATCTGTACGTGAGGACATGCACCTGTACTTCACTCCTGCAAATTCCAGCAAATTCAAGGTTTTTCTGGGAAACATGACATGAGTCTCTGCCTTAAAGAGCAAAGAAATAAAGGAAGAAAAAGTATAAGAAATCCTTTAGTCCAGCCTGATCTTAAACTGCTACAGTTCATAGGATTTTTTCACTCAAGTGCTTTTTCAAATTATTTTCAGCACCAGATTTCCATTCTTGGATGATAAAAATAAAAGTAGGATAGATTTTTTTTAGACAAATCCCATATTTTTCACTAAGAAATATGCCCAAGCTAACTGGAAATTGGTTAGATTGAGACATTCCTTTTTTTTACTGAGTTCTAAAGAGAGCATGGGACTACTTACTTAAAACTGATTCAGATGCTAATTTAAAATTTATTTTCAAGAAGTTATATTTTGCAAGAAGGAAGAGTAATGCCTTTTATCTCCACCGTGGTAATAAAATTAAGTGAGATGAATAGTTAACGGATTTGATTTCCTGCTTCTATCCATGGCAGCGTGTGGACTTGCTCTCTGTTGTCACTGTAACAGCTTGTGCTCAGCCGGCTCTGAGCTCCAGGTCAGCTGGGATTTCCTAATGCCAGTGGCATTCAGATCCTTTCCATATTTGTTTTTCATTTGAGATGATTAACGATGCATCTCTCTGTTCAGAGGACAACCTGGGATCTTAGAATTAAACCTAATGAATATAATTGAAAATGTGGCCCTTTATTTTTAGCAGGAAACATATTGTTCTCCTGTACAATTTTTGACCGTGTGAATTGATTCTCAATGGAAAGTTCACTCACTGGCCACAACACACACACACACACACACACACACACACACACACACACACACACACACCACACACACACACACTCTGAACAACGAGAGTTAGTGATAGCAGTGGCAGTGATTTAGGCGCATCAGACTGTTAAGCAAGTGCTAGGATTGGAAATCTCATATAATTGTGTGTGTGTGTGTGTGTGTGTTGGTCCTGGTGCTTGAACTCAGGCATTGTCTTCAAGCTTTTGTGCTCAAGGCTGACACTCTACCACTTGAGTCAAAGCTCCACGTTTGACTTTTTGGTGGTTAATTGGAGATGAAAGATTCATAGACTTTCCTGGCCAGGCTGGTCTTGACCTGTAATCCGCAGTTTTAGTCTCTTGAGTAGTTCAGATTAAAGGTATGAGCCAGAGCACACGGCTAAATAATAACATTCTTATACAAGTGTTTTCCATTTGAAACCATTGTGGAGAAATATCAATACTTCTGTTTAAAAAGTGAGACAATTATGTTAAAGAAGGGAAGGATGATCTATAAAATATTTTGGAATTTGGCCAGGAACTAGTGATCTACTTACAATCAAACTATAATCCCAGCCTCCTAGAAGTCCAGATGGGAGAATTGCTATTCTAGGTCAGCTAGGGAAGAAATGAAGTAATTCATCATTTGTATGACTCCTTCTCCACCAATAGCTGGGTTCTGTAGTGCCTGCCTGTCATTCTTAGAAAATTATTATTATTATTATATATAAAACAATATGAATATAAAATAATATGAAATTATTATTCAGGGCAGGAAACATGACCCCATATCTCAAAAATAATCAGGGTAAAATGCTTTTGGAGCCCTGGCTCAGCAGCTGAGTGTCCATGTTGAAAGTACAAGGCTTTTAATCCCAACCCCACCACCATCACATTGAAATAAAAGCCACCTCCACCAAACGCCTATATACCATGACAAGTTAAAATACTACAAAAGAGAACAGACCATGAAAACTCGGCCATATTTTTTTTAAATGGACAAAAGGTACACTGTTGTACACTGGTACAATATACCAAGTTGGCATACCTGGCATTGGTGATAACCGCCCTGTTGGACAGGCTTGCTTTAGTGCCAATTGAGAAAAAACTAAGTACCTCAGGCAGAGGCAGTGATGGGTGTCTGCGAGTTCCTACATTCCCGGGCAGTGAGTCTCTCGCTTATCTCAGTACAGACCTCCAGGGGTAGGACATCATCACAGGATTAGCTCCCATTAGCTTTGTCTCCTTGGTGCTACCTGCTGAATCCGGGCCCCAGGGTCAGGACAAGCCAAGTTAAGTGTAGTCAGCGTGCAGTTACGATCTGGTGTTGGGTTGGGATTCTGAGAGGCCCTGCGTAAGCCATCAGCTAAAGCTCCCTGGAGCCTGGTTCTCAGGGCAGCTCCTGAGGCTGAGACCCAGACCCAGTTCTTCTGAGCCCCACTGTCTATCAGAACCTACTTTGCACACTGGAGGACGCCATTTAAAAACAAGCCCAGTGCCTTAGGGTCTGTAGCTGATGCCTATGGAGATGGGAGCAGTTAGCACTTGCTCTTACCCTTGCTGTCCTTGCGTTCCAGCCTTTCTTATGCTTAGGCACTAGGCCACTGTCCCTGTGAATCTCTCTAGGCCACTCCTGAGTGAGTCTCCTGTCTCCTGAGGTACTGGAGGAGCTTTGTAGCGCCTGGACCAACTTCCGGGCAGAGCAGTTCTTCCTGCTCCCTCCTCGGACTTTGGATAGAACCTGGAGGGGGAGGAGCTGGTGCCACAAAGCCATGAATACTTTAGCTCCTAGGAAATGGCTTCACTAGAACTTGTTTGGTGATGTGGACATATTTTCATATTTTGGGACCTCAAGTATTATATGGTAATTGGAAACTTCCAGAAAGCCAGATTTCCACTTTGCATTTCCAATTTATAGGTTTTTTTTTTTTTTTTTTTAGAAAAGCAGTCAGCAGTAGGCAATTCTGAGTAGTTTGGAGTTAGGTGCTGAATGAGTGTGTTTCCTGTTGCTACCACAAAGTACCAGCGGCTACATTCTTCATAAAGGAAAGGAGGTTTATTTATTTGTGTCTCACAGGTCTGGAGCCTGAAAGTCCAAGACAGAGTATTTATTCTCTGTTGGGCTTCATTGAGGTCCACTCTGTGGGTTGATACCACAGGGGGAGGCACTCAGAGAAGAGCTGTGTGGGGGCCTGGAAAGCAATGCCACAGATAATCGGGAGCCAGGCTGTTTCTCTTTAATGAAACCTACTTTTACCAAGGCAGACTGGGGTCCCTCAAGAACTCTGGAAATCCCTTTCCAAGGTGCTGTGTCATGACCTGCTTATTCCCTTTTGCTCCAGCAGCTTCATGTGCCAGTACCTGCCAATAGCCCCACCCAGGCACACAGACTGCCCCCAAACCATGGCAGGAGCCAGTAGAGAGACAGATTCAATGGCAATCTGTGAATACCAGGATTCACTTCCGGGGCAGGATGTGTGTGTTCCTGTGGAGATCCACTGCCCAGAAGCATGGAGGGGCTGGTCTCACATGCCGATGGCACCTTCTGGAAAAGGTTAAAGGGATTATTCTTAAGAAGCTCCATGGATTCCTTTTGCCCTGGGCTCTGCAACCTTCTTATTTAGTCTTGAAGGATACTGTGCTGTGTGGGTTGAGAGATTATGAGTAGATCCTTTAAGATTGATTTAGGGTAAAACCACACCAGCGACTTTTAACAAGCTGTGTGATGGAAAAACTGCTTGGGATACATTTCACACAAGCATTGCAGTATGAAAGATTGAGTCACTCTATAATTGATTCTATAGACTTACATGGTGGGGGTTGGGAAGATGCGAGGGCTTGAATGCCGGGTCTACATGTTGTTCTTTAACTTTTTTTTGCTCAAGGCTACTGTTCTACCACTTGAGCCACAGCTCTATTTTCAGCCTTTTGCTGGTGAATTGGAGATATGAGTTGAATAGACTTTCCTGCCAGATTGGCTTTGAACCATGATCCTCAGATCTCAGCTTCTTGAGTAGCTAGGATGACAGAATGGTGTCTGGCTGATTCATATATCTTATTTTCTTTTTTTTTTTCTGGTCATGGGGCCTGAACTCTGGGCCTGGGCACTGTCTCTCAGCTCTTCAGCTCAAAGCTAACGCTCTACCACTTGAACCACAGCGCCACTTCCGGCTTTTTTTCTTTTTGCTTATGTGGTGCTGAGGAATTGAACCCAGGGCCTCATGCATGCAAGGCAAGTGCTCTACCACTGAGCCACCTTCCCAGCCCATCATGTATTTTATTTTCATTCTTTACTTCTATACCATGGTGTAGGATTCCAATTTCATATGGATTACTATAAAATATTTCTTGGACTTCTTGGACTTACTATAAAAGTGAGAGATCACACAAACAATCTTCAGGTCGCCAATACCCCAGTTATCATTCTGCAATTCACAGTTATCATTCCGCAATTCACAGTTATCATTCCGCAATTCAGTTTTCTGTTGTCACCGGCTTTCTTATTATAACAGTCCAGATTTTTTCCCCTTTTTAATAGGATTCAGCATAATTGACTTTTATTTTTATTCCTTCTTTCTTGCTTAGGGAAATATCTGGGAACAGATTTTACGAATTCCATTTATCTTGGAGATAATCAACGCGGTTCCTTTCATTATCTCAGTAAGTCCTAATATCTTCAAAAACAAAAAAAATGTTATTATGTTTAAGTAGTTTTTTAAAACTCTAAGTGCTTGTAAATGATATTGCAGCAAAGATACATGGATTGACACTTTGGTTAGAATCATAGCACTGAAAAAGAGTAAATGCAGCTGAATAAGTGAATTGGGTAATTCAATGAAATCTAATGAGATTTAGTTCAATTACAAAATGAAGTATGGGTCTAGAGATGCCATTGAACAATTATCAGTACTCTTAGAAAGACTTGAAATTGCTCACTGTATTTCTTGTTTATGTTGTAGAAATATTAAAAAGTGGAAACAAATTACAATGAACAATAGTGAAAATACACTTATCTCTAGTTTAACCATAGGGTATACTAACTGCAATTCTCCTTTCGTAGGAAACTTTCTGCGACCTAGACACCAATGTACTGTCAATTACCACTTTCATAATAATCCTATGTAACTGTGATCATATTAATATGTAACTTTGTGCTTTCCCGTTTGCAAAATAAGGTTTTAATCTCAATACAATAGTAATGTTGGTTGGAATTGTACTTTCTAGCACTTTATTTGGATTTTGGTTGGAAACATTAGGCAATAAATCAATCCTGAAATGGTGACTTCTGATAGTTTATTTTGAGCAACTTATCTACGGGAGGTGACAGGAGGCTCAGAATCATGGCAATGGGGCAGGTCCTCAGTGTCACTTGAAGTTGGTGACTGCGAAGACAGGGAGTAGAAATGTTGTAAAAGACAGCCTTCTCTCATCTTTCCTGCTTATCTCAAGTAAGAAGGAAGATAAGGCCACTTATAAAGCATTACAGTAAAAGGCCTAATAATGGATTAGCATAGTTATATCTGACGTGTAATGAGAGATCATTATTTTCTTTTCTTCTGCTCTTATTTTTCTAAGGAAGACCTAATGAATTAAAGGTCCTATCTTTACTTTGCTTTTATTTTTTTTTAAATAAAAACCAACCAACCAACCAAACAAACAAATATGTGTTTAAAGATTTTGCCACTAAATCATTTCGTTGTCTCAATTTTTAATCTGATTAAATGAAACTCTTAATCCGTGGGCTAGGATGTTTTTTTTGAGATAGAAGTTCAGCTTTGATTTGTTTTTCAGATATTCTGGCCTTCCTTACGGAACCTGTTTGTTCCAGTATTTCTAAACTGTTGGCTTGCGAAGCACGCCTTGGAAAACATGATTGTAAGTAATAAAAGTGAAGGCCAAAAGTTTCCCTCTTAATGCAAAATATAAAAAAAATACTTTTAAGCCCTTTGCTCTTTCCTTACTGATTTTCTAGGCATAAACCGAATTAGCTGTTTCAGGGTTTGATCTTTTGTTATCCAGAACATAGGAACTACATATAAAATTGAATGCATAAGATAGAAATTGCATATAATTTGTATTCATTAATATATAACCTATATAATTTGTATTTATTAATATATAACCTATATAATCTGTATTTATTAACCTATAACATTTAATTAATTATTAATTTATTTATATTTATTAATATAGGCATAACATTAAAATGCTGTTATGTATTCATGTTCTATGCATATTTATGTTATATATTTTGTGTAAATATAATATGTAAAGAATATGTTTGTGTATATAATGTATATATATAATGTATATATACATATATAATGTATATATACACATAGAGCAATATGTATGTAACAGTATTTTAAGTGTACATCTATGTTAATTGAGAGACTGGAAGCGATCCTTTTAGAATAGTGAAACCAGTGTGAAAATGTGTGAAATGTCTATAGAAACACATGACTTCCTTTGCAGGGCCTCATTTATGAAAGAGGTTTAGATTTTTCTGTATGTCATAAGACAGCATCTAACTCTTGTTTGGACCTGGTTTCCGTGGACAAATCCCTTCCCCTTTCCAGGGAATCTGTTCCTCTGGAAGAGGCGCCCTGATTTGAAGGACGCAGGGAAGTGATGTGTCAAATTGCTTTTAATTTTGAGTGGTTTCATGATCCACACAATTTATGGGGCCCTATGAGAGATGTGAAATACTCTCATTTAATATCATCCTATTAGACTTGGTTGATTTTAGTTGTGTGTGGGCTGTTAGAAAGGAGAGTGGAAAGCCAGGCAGAAGAAGAGATGCAAGGTTGAGAATTATGCCACGTGTATTTGCTCAAAGCTGACTGTGTTTGAAATGAATGTCGTGTACCTAGGACCGAAGTGTGTTTACAGAGGCCTTGTTGAAGACGTGCAAGCAAGCTAAGAGACATTTTCTGTTTGCTCATTCATTCTACAGATTGTTTTCATTCATTTATTCTATAGGTAGGGAGATCTTTTTCACTATATGCTACACCCTCTACTAGGCAAACTACTTAACTTTTCTATTGGTATCTTCATCTGCAAGAGAAGGTACAGGCACTATACAGCAGGTTTGCTTGTGCACACACACATACACACATATACAATATGAGTGTATAAATCTTGTATTTGGCAGAAATCCAGAAAGAGTCCCAATATTAATAATTATGCTTCACTATAAATCACAGTTGTTTGGAGACAAACATAATTTCCATTTAGCTGGTCTTGGAATAGACATTATGACCAAAGTTTTGGCCCAGAAGACTATTTGAATAACATTTGAGTAGTCTTAACTTGGCGAGTATTTCTTTATATCAAGTAATGGTGGGGGCTCACAGCCAGTGTGGGGGGCCCTGGCCTGTGCACTGGCTTGTAGAACCTCGGTGCAGTCTTAATTATCCCCAGAGCAATTCCAGTGGATGAAATAGAGATCGCCAAATTGCTAATGAAAAAAATACATCAGGAGAAAAAAATCTCTGTTAATTACTATGAAATTAGTTGTTGGAAAAAATAAGCAAGACAGAACCGTTAGTTATTCAGGGAGAGGAAAAAGGAATGTTTTGCAATATTAATCCTTTCCCTCCTATTTCTAAGGTTTGCTTTTCCATGTACCATTGGATTCTAACTGTTTCTCTGCTCATTAGCACTGCTTCTGCAATAAACTGAAGGATGAACAATGAAAATCTAATCAATCACCATAATTCTTTTTTTTTCTATAGGACTTCTTTGTATCTCTGTGGTAAGGGAAAATAAGGTGATGTCTCATTGAGATATTTTCCACTAGTGAAGTTACTTTTCTCATATGGCATTAATTTTGAGGACATTAAAAGTACATTCTAAAGAAATGCAATGATTATAACTCTTTAAGTTAAAAAACCTTTTTAATGGATATGACTAAACCTATAATTAAATATTAACCAGTTTTATATTGCATATTTTATTTGCTTTAGTATGGACAATCATTCATTAGGTCACATAAACATTGTTGCATATTTTGGGTGATTTTCATGTGTTCACATTTTAGAAATTTCGTTATTGGCTAAATGCTTACTGAATGAATGAATGCATGGATTAGAAAGGTTATATTCTGGGTTTTGATATATATTACTAAATAACCCCCCTAAAATTTGTAGTTTCCTGAGTGGTACTGAAGATGGGTGTTCACCTTTTATGCTTTAAGCAACACTGATTATTATTATTATTGTTATTATTTAATTATCAATTGGAAAAGTACCAAATATGTCTTGGATTTACATTTCTTCTAATATCAATATTAAATCAAATTGGATATCAGTGGCTCATGCCTGTACTATTAGCTACTCACAGGGTTGAGCTCTAAGGATCACAGTTTGAAGCCAGCCTGGGTAGAAAAATCTATGACACTTTTCTTCTATTAACCAAGGAAAAGCTGGAAGTGGAGGTGTGGTTCAAGTGGTAGAGAGACAGCATTGAGCAGAAAGAGCCAAGCAAGATCACAAAGCCCTGAGTTCAAGCTCTAGTTCTGTCACTTTGTACAACAACATAAGGATAATATGAATTAGAAATTAGAAAAATCAAATCAAATGCCAAAATTGTATTCATGGACTTTTTCTTTTGGTGATAAGCTATGTGTTCTAATTCCTATTTTTTTGACAATGAGCTTTGATTGTAGTTTCACTTTGCTATTACTCACTTCTTCATTGAATTTACTATTATTTGATCTTTCAACATGAGACTAATACACGCGCTCTTGCTGTTATTCTAGAATGATCTACACAGAGCCATTCAGCGTACTCAGTCTGCCATGTTTAATCAAGTTTTGATTTTGATATCTACATTACTCTGTCTCATCTTCACCTGGTAAGTTCCTGTCTATCAGCATTTTCATTATGCCTTTTGCTTCATTACAGTTTCTGAAGGACAGTGTGTTACCACCCATTATTATCAGTGGTTGGTTGAAATAAACAACTCAATACTCAGCATAAACTGTAACGGGCCTCTGCCTAAGCAGAGTCCTTCTTTTATCCGACAGACAGCGCTGGTGGCCTGCGTCTGTTGGTATTGAGATGGACTGGGATTCTGACATTTCCCCAAGTGCCAACAGCACCTCACGAGAGTGTGTTGGGTCTGCCCTGCATGTCGGAGGAGAACACTTCCTTCACAGCACTGGCATGGGCTGCCCTCATCTTTCTGCCTTCTGCAGATCAGACCCAGTGGGGTGAAAACTGCCCCCCTCCGGGCCGGCCTCTGCCCGGCCCGCTGCAGGGGAGCCCTGCCTGCAGCTGCACAGGACGCAGAGGCGGCTCCTCCAGGCCCTGCCAGTGTGTCTTCGCGTTCCACAGGCCCCACGTGGGCCATCGTAGACGATTCCACAGCACAGAGGTGTGCCTCACAGAAGGCAGGGCCTTGGCAAGAGATCAACTATGAAAATCAACAACACAGAGAAATGGCCAGGCACCCGTAGCTCCCACCTGTGATCTTAGCTACCCAGGAGGCTGAGATCTGAGGATAGCAGTGCGGAACTAGCTCAGGCAGGAAAAAATGAGCCAGAAGCCGAGGCTCAGGCGGTAGGGAAGAGCTAGCCTTGAGCACAGGAGCTCAGGGACAGCGCCTGCCCAGGTACAAGGACCAGCACACACACCACAGAAGAGTCTGGAGCGATAATCTGCTCTGCTCTTGGTTGCATCGCTGTGGGAGTTGCTGCTCTTGTGACGGGTCCATGACACCTGCTAGCCGAAGTTCTAGCTATCGCTAAAATGTGGCCCTGGCTTTAACGTTGCCAAAATGAGCCAAAGAGAAACTTAGCCAAATAAAATGTTATTGGTTTTGATCACAGGCATATTTGGATGTTCTTAAAATGATAGTGCTCAGAAGGGAAGGACTTGAGATTTGAATTGGGTATTCTCCGGCAATACCTCTGTAAATTATAGGCAGCATCATGTTATGATCTACCAAGACAGATATAAGTGTGTTATACGAGTCAAAATACATCATTCAGACTGTTTTAGTAAAGAGTTATACCTCACCTGGTGTATAAAGTATAAAACACAACTTAACCACCCGTCCAGGCCTGGTATACTACCTCAGTTCAGCCCTGTTGGCGACTAACTGTCCTGTGTCTTGTCTCTCCCATGAAGAAAACATGGTTCCTATCTTCCAGTCCAAGAGAACAGCATTCATTCCTGCCATCAAATCCCAGACCCTGTCTTCAAAAGAAGAAAAGTTTAACTGAGAGTTTGGGTTCATAGTTAAGTGTAGAATTCAGTGCCATTTATTTGCAGAGCGGATGGAAAGCCAGTACAAACGCAGTTTAGCTGAAGAACCGTGTTTTTCTGCAGAATATTCTTTATCTCAGGAAAAAAGGAAAACAACAAACTTCTGGCTATGTGGAGCAATAGAAATCTGTAGCACAGATAAATCATAGAAGTTTTTGCCATCTCATGAACTGGGGATAATATTAATTAACCTATAAGCTAGTTTCACAGTAAAGATTAAATTATATATACTTACACACTATATTTACTCTATAAGAGCTAAGCATAAATAACCCATTTTAATTCCAAAGTTGTATTTAACAAGAAATATAAAACATTTTTCTCCATTGTAATATCTTCAAATTTGTTCTATGTATTTCTAATATGGTTTTGGGGGGATATCTCCACTAAGTAGGAAATTGCTCGTACTTCTTTAAGCACATTTAAAAAAATTTAGTTATCATTATTCTAAAGGTGATGTACAGACGGGTTATGGCTATGTTAGTCAGGTCATGAGTACGTTTGTTTTTGGACAGTGTCACCCCTTCCTTTGCTCTCTCCTACTTTCTCCCTCTTGTCCCCACATCCAAGTTGTACAGTTCATTTTCAACCTAGTGTCTAGAGAGAACCACTGCTGCATTTGCTCACCCATTGTCCCTCCCTTAGACAGCCTCTCGTTTCTGTTTCCTGGAGCTCATTTCGATAAATGCTATGTTACAGGGTCAGAGGCACATAGCTATTGAGCCTATAGGAGCCTCTCCTGAGAGTATCTTCCTCTGTTCTCACTCTGTGTGAGTGTCTAGGCACATTTAATATTTATGATTATGTGAGCAAGGCATGCCAGTCTATCCATGACTCTCCTGTTAGAACAGTTTCTTTATTTTATCTGAATAAATGATACAAGAAGTGAAGGCATGGTGACTTAATTCAATAGCCAGGTGAAGGACTGCCTTGTCACGAGAAAAGGAACAGCCAAGTTTTGGAATATGTAGGAACATTTCCACAATAAACAAGCCCTCCATCAATATCGAGTTGGGTATAGGCAGACATTGATATTTAGCTTACTTGATTCATACAACTGTATAATGCACATGTATATATGTGTGTGTATACAAAACCATATGTATATGTACGTGTGTGTATGTGTGTGTGTTATGTCTCTTCTAAACGATGGTTGTTCTATCTTGTCACAATATCACCGAGAGAGACTCTCAATGTGAACTTTTAATAATATGCTGTAGCTGGGCGCCCGTGGCTACATCCATCACCTTAGGAGGTTGAGATCTGAGGATCACAGTTTGCAGCTTGGTGGGGTAGGAAAGTCTGTGAGACTCTTTCTGTCAATTATGCCGCAAGAAAGTGGAGGGGTGGCTCGTGTGCTGGGGCATCAGCCTTGAGCAGAAAAAGCTAAATGAGAGCACAAGGCCCTGAATTCAAGCACAACAATGAATGATCATACAAATTATTATTATTAATATTATAAAGTACTTTATAGCTGGGGCTTGAAAATTCAGGAATGAATACTTGGAAGCAGTGCTGTGTTCTCCCTGAGGCTCGTGTGTGATGATTAGAAATCTTCCCAGGAGCCTTAGCAAGTACCTTGTTGCTTCTCTGCAGGCATCTTGGTGGTCTCTCATTAAGCGTCTGTCCACGAGGCACACAAGCTCACTGCCAAGCTGAAATAAAACTGAAGCGACCCACACCCTCCCTTCAGAGAATGTGCTCAGAATTGTTTTTCCTGTCATTGTAATGAAATTGGACCAATCTGTCCACACATTGGGCCTGCCCTCCCTCCTGATCAATAACGCTCACGTCCAAGACAGCTGGGAATTGTGATTCATCCTGTACCTCTGAAACAAAGCAGAGGAAGCGGCTACATCCGGGGATTAGCTGCGTGATTTTGGCTTAATTGCCAACATATTCTAACCAATAACGAGTGCCATCATGGTGATGCAGTTGGTGTTTCTAATTTTACACCCATAGGCTTGTTTTGCCACTGCTTTGTTTCAAACTTTAACCATTTGTTGGAATTATTTATGAATTCCCGTGTTATTCCATGGGTAGAAAGAACTGTAGAAACAGATACTTTCTGTTTTACTTCAATGTAAAAGGCTTAACTCATTTTTTTCAGTTTTCTCTTAGGAGAAAATAAGTCCACTTAGATACGATCTAGTTAAATATTATGATGTGCATAACTTGGAACCATTTGGAATTTTCCCATGCACTTACTTGAATGCTGGATATTTAGGTGATTTTTTAAATCTATTGGTTCTATTATTCTTACAATAGAATCTATAGATTTCTGGTCTTAAATAACCACTTGGGAAGTGGAGAGTGAGGAGATAAGATTTGTCCTTTGGAGAACGCAGTCCAACACGCTCTAATAGTGTTCATTGTCACTGTCATTAAATTTGATTAGGTTTTTATTAATTTTCAATTTTGTTTTACTTATATTCCAGTTGAGTGAATTTCCTTTGTCTGGTGAGCTGGCAATGGGCTAATAACCACCGGGTTTTATGATTCTAGAACAAATAGAAAACCATGTGTCTCAATATATTTTTGTAAATTTAGCAAGACAGATTTTTTGGGTAAGTAGTTAGCCAATGAAGACAAGTTCAAGAAGGAAAAAGAAGGCTGTGTCACTTAGCATAGAGAAACCATACTACTGTATAGATCTATATCACCAACATACCCCTCAAAGGAGCATAGCAGTGAAGCTAAAATGGCCTCAAACCAGATACTTTTAAATTATGATGACATTCTATCATCATCTCTATACATTCACATGAGAATAATAGCATTTTAAGTTTTTATTGTGTCAGACACTTTTCTGAGCACTTTGTGTACTATTACTAATTTAATCTTCAACCACCTGTTAAGTTTGATTATTATCTTAATTTTATAGATGAAGATACTGTGATGCCAAATAGATAAGGAATTTACTAAGGCCCCCGATCTTCTGGGAGCTATGTTAACATTTTTGGAGAAAGGCTTCACTTACTAAAGAGTAAGAATAAATCTGATATCTTCACTGGACTCTTCTGTGACCTAGCACTTGTCCACAAGTTTCCAAGAAAATTTTAGCATCTAAAATTCTATCAAACCAATCCATCATTTATTTTATTTTATTTTTTATTGTGAAAATACCATACAGAGGAGTTACAATTACATGGGCAAGATAGTGAATACATTTCTTATCAAGCATTGTTGCTTCCTCCTTTGTTTTCCCGTACCATCCCTTTCCCTCTCCATCCTCCACCCCCACACCTCCCTCCCACCCCCTCCCATCCCCCACCCTGCCAATGTTGTAAAGTTCATTTTTTGACATAATGTCTTGTACATCTCATTGTTGTAATGGATCCACCTGTAACCCTATTTAAACAGATTGTTTTTTCCCTTCCCCTCCACAAATCATATCAACATCAAATACAGTGAAAGCAGGGCTTATACCCTGGGGGAGGGACATACAAAGCAACAAAGAAATCATCTTATAAATATGTTGGAAACAATCATAAGAAAGAAAAACACATTTGAACCCTTATCTTGGGCTTCATTTCGCCTAACATCAACTTGTCTGACAGTTTCTGTTTGTCTCAGCCATATACT